TTTGACAGTTCTTTCTGCATTCTAGATATTAGTCTAGATATTCTAGATATTAGTCCTTTGTCAAATGTGTGGTTTAAAATATCTACTCCCAATCTGTACCTTGTCCTTTTATCCTGATAACAGGGTCTTTTGAAGAGCAAATGTTAAACATTTTGATGGAATCTAAATTACTGACTTCTCTTTTATTGACCATGCCTTTGGTCTCAAGTCTAAGAAGTCTTCACCTGGCCCTAGGCCCCACAGTCTGTCTTAAATGCCACAATTGACAGCACTGGTGAAGATGCTCTTCTCACCTGCTTCCTCAGCTGCTCTAGCTTTGTCTTCTCCATATTTCTCCAACTCCTTAGGAAAGCATTAGCCATAGCTTTTATTGAGTTTTTTGAAAAATTCAGTCTTTCCAAAATTTTTTAAAATAACATGAGATGTTTTAATCAATGAATCATGGTTTTTTCCTTCAACATTCTCTTTTGATGGTCATCCAAGAACAGGGATGGGAAACTCCCTACTTCCCCAAACAACCATTCTGATAGCTCTGTGAGTAAGAATGCCCACCCTTTATCATGGATTGATTTGCTCCCTGAAGCTGTGATCCTGGGCAAGAAGCAAGCAAGTTGAACCTCTCTCCTGAAGAACAGACTTTTAATATCTGAAAACCTTGGTTCTGTTCTTCTAAGGCCTCCTCTGCACCAGGCCAAAAGTTCTAGGTCCTTCAGTTGTTCCTCATTAACACAGTAGATAGGTTAGCCATAGCCTTCGGCTGTAAGTAACAAAGACCTAATTCAAAGTGCCTCAAACAGGCTGGGTGCACTGGCCCATGCATCACAGCACTCCAGCCTGGGCAACAGAGTGAGACTGTCTCCAAAACCAAAAACCAAAAAACAAAGTGGGTCAAACAACAATGGGATTATTACTATCTTAGATGACCCAGAAGTTGGGTGGTTGGGTGGTTCCAGGGTTGATGGTTCAGTAGCTCAATGAAACCATGAGGGCCCATTCTCTTACCTTCTGCTTTGCCACCCTGGTCAAGGTGGCTTTTGCTCTCAGACTTGTGTAGAGCTGCTCCACCAGCTCGCCAGGCAACACTCACAGGTAAATAGGAATAGCCATATGTCCTTGTCTGGGACCCTTTTTAATATACAGAAGCCTTTCTTAGGAGTTTCCAAGCAGACTTCTCACATCTAATAGTCAAAATTGTATTCCAGTATACTTACCCTAAACCAAACCCTGGCAAGCGGAATGGAATGACCAGTCAAGATTCACTTCCTGGGCCGGGGAAGAACTCAGCTTCCACCCTTGCCCCTACACATTAGCAGCAAAAGGTGGGGGATGGTACAGAAGCAGGGTTTGGTTGGCTAGAAAGAATATGAAGAATGTCTATATAGGTGACCTGTAGTGTTGGTCTCACACTGGTTTCAGGACCATTCTCACCTGACGGTTTCTCTATTTGGTTTTATCCCTCTTGAAATGGCGTGTTCATAACTGACTACTGAATAGATCAGGTGTGGTCTGACAAGTGGTAGATGCTGGCACCTCCTTCATTTTAAATCTCTACTTTTGTTAATATAGCCAATAGTTGTACCCCACTGTTGCTACCCTAGCTGAAACTTCTCAGGACTCCTCTGTTCTTTAGCCCCTAGGATTTTGGAGCTCCTACAGTCTGTGAAACTTGCTCCCCATGAGCTCACCCTGCCAAACTCCTGCCATTGGCCCTCTTTCCTTCTGAATGGGGCTGGGGCAGAGGCAGCCTCTCCCCTGGTGCCAGGGCCAGTGTGATGTGAGGCTGTGAGGAGCTCTGGAGGGAGCACTGGCTGTGTGGCCAGACAGACCTGGCTTCCAGAACTACTGTGCCTCTTGCTGTGATCTGGGGCCCTTTGGGCCTCAGTTTCCACATTTGTAAAGTGGAAATTAATTATCCCTACCTAACAGAACTGGGATGAACAAAATTATTGTGAAAAAGTCTGCCTGTCACCTTAGAGTCATTCAACCAGTGCAAGCTCTTTCCCGTTCTTCCTCCTCACCCACACTAGTACCTTGGAGTTTGTGGAGGCTTCTTTGTTTCTTGAGAGCAAGGACTTGCTCTGTCACCCAGGCCGGACTGCAGTGGCTACATCATGGCTCACTGCAGCCTTGACCTCCTGGGCTCAAATGGTCCTTCTGCCTCAGCCTCCTGAGCAGCTAGGACTATAGACATGTGCCACCATGCTTGGCTAATTTTTAAATTTTTTTATAGAGACAAGGTCTCGCTATGTTGCCCAGGCTGGTCTTGAACTCATTGGCTCAAGTGATCCTCCCGCCTAGGCCTCCCAAAGTGCTGGGATTATAGGCGTGAGCCACTGTGCCTGGCCTGTGGAGGCTTTTAATTCTCAAAATATGTGTGTCGCCAGGCGCGGTGGCTCATGCCTATAATTCCAGCACTTAGGGAGGGTGAGGCGGGTGGATCACGAGGTCAAGAGATCGAGACCATCCTGGTCAACCATGGTTTCATCCATGGTGAAACCCCGTCTTTACTAAAAATACAAAAATTAGGTGGGCATGGTGGCGCGCCTGTGGTCCCAGCTACTTGGGAGGCTGAGGCAGGAGAATTGCTTGAACCCAGGAGTCGGAGGTTGCGGTGAGCCAAGATTGCGCCATTGCACTCCAGCCTGGATAACAAGAGTGGAA